TAATTTGAGACAGTGGTGGATTTTTGTTCTATACGCATATATGTTTTAAAAAATTGAATAAACTTTGAATTCATTCAATTTTACTTTTTGACACTTCAGCATGTGAAACGCACCTCTATATTGGGTTTGGGTGTTTAACATCCTTCTCGCATAAAGAGTCCACTCTCTGTTTTCTACCATTCATACTGGTTCTCTACCATACTCGGTTGAACACTTTGCGGTCTTTTTTTCAGATAAACGGCCAAACCAGCCACGACACCAATGACAACTGCACACGCACGGCCGGCAATTATAGCAACCACCATAAAGTCCACTCTGTTGGATTGGTCTGATGAGTTTTCTTTAGTTGCGCTTTCTTGCACTGCGGCGATTGGTGTCGTGCCGATCCCTTTCTTGTCAGGCAATGTAGGTGGGGCTTTAGAAGATGGGGCAGCTGAAGGGTCGAGTGAGACTGTCACAGATGATGAAGTGTGGCCCTGTGTGGTTCCAACTTTGGTCGAAACTGGTGTTGGGTTTTCCCAGGAACTCACAGTTACATCGCTGGCATCTGAGGGATTGGTCTTTGTTCCTCTTGTTAAATCAGTGTTGTCCTGTGAAGAAACTGACGTTATTTTGTGTCCGGAACTCACAGTTGTATCGCTGGCATCTGAGGGATTGGTCTTTGTTCCTCTTGTTAAATCAGTGTTGTCCTGTGAAGAAACTGACGTTATTTTGTGTCCGGAACTCACAGTTACATCGCTGGCATCTGAGGGATTGGTCTTTGTTCCTCTTGTTAAATCAGTGTTGTCCTGTGAAGAAACTGACGTTATTTTGTGTCCGGAACTCACAGTTGTATCGCTGGCATCTGAGGGATTGGTCTTTGTTCCTCTTGTTAAATCAGTGTTGTCCTGTGAAGAAACTGACGTTATTTTGTGTCCGGAACTCACAGTTACATCGCTGGCATCTGAGGGATTGGTCTTTGTTCCTCTTGTTAAATCAGTGTTGTCCTGTGAAGAAACTGACGTTATTTTGTGTCCGGAACTCACAGTTGTATCGCTGGCATCTGAGGGATTGGTCTTTGTTCCTCTTGTTAAATCAGTGTTGTCCTGTGAAGAAACTGACGTTATTTTGTGTCCGGAACTCACAGTTACATCGCTGGCATCTGAGGGATTGGTCTTTGTTCCTCTTGTTAAATCAGTGTTGTCCTGTGAAGAAACTGACGTTATTTTGTGTCCGGAACTCACAGTTGTATCGCTGGCATCTGAGGGATTGGTCTTTGTTCCTCTTGTTAAATCAGTGTTGTCCTGTGAAGAAACTGACGTTATTTTGTGTCCGGAACTCACAGTTACATCGCTGGCATCTGAGGGATTGGTCTTTGTTCCTCTTGTTAAATCAGTGTTGTCCTGTGAAGAAACTGACGTTATTTTGTGTCCGGAACTCACAGTTGTATCGCTGGCATCTGAGGGATTGGTCTTTGTTCCTCTTGTTAAATCAGTGTTATCCTGTGAAGAAACTGACGTTATTTTATGTCCGGAACTCACTGTTGTATCGCTTCCCGATGTTGTTGTTTGAATGGTTGTTGGCTTTGGACATTTAGATTGGTAGTGTTTGTACCAGTCTGTAGTCTCTGGTGCCGAGGTGCTGCTTGCAATGTTACCTGAAAGGGAAAAAATAAATATTCGAAATAAATGAACGCCTTAAGTTCATCAACCCAAGCTGGGGGATTCAGAATATCGACATCGCAGTTTCCCCGCTTTGAAGAAGGCTTTGAGCTCCGATCATTTTGTCTGAATCTAAATCTGATATTTTGGTTTGGAAAAGGGGGGAGTTGCCACTCCTCCTTCATACATCAATACAGTGTACATAGCGCTAATCACAAGAAAATCCCATCAATTGCCAAGCTGCTTAATGTATTTCTGGAAATATATTATCGTTTCAATCCTTAAAGCAAAACAAATATAATCTCTAAATCAATGCATACTGCAATAAAATGACATGAGCTTGATAAGGTTCCTTTCGGAATCAGCGGTTTGGCATTAAAGATATGACGAAATAAAACATGGCACACATTGGATGATGGTGTAATTTACGGATCTTTATGAGAGTTATCGGGTAATAGTCCCCGTTTGTATATTTCAAGAGAATTTCAAAGCCGATGCTCATTCTTGATCGGCATTGTCAAACCCGGGTGTTAATGTCCTTATTACCAATAATAATAAGAAGAAGAAGAAGAATTTACCTGAACAAAGAGCCTTGGAAAAGTTGCTGGTAAAATGGACAAGGTCATCAAATGAGTTTAAGACGAAAGTATGTTTTTCTGCAGGAGCTGTGGCCATCGCTTGTAGTTCCAGGATATCTACCCCTGCCCCCAAGCCGATAACATACAACTCGGTACTCATATTCTTGAGGCTGGACGCCTCACTCACAACGCTACACAAATCGGGTGGCTTCTGCGTGGTTATGAGGACACCAATTTTCCTTACAATTGTGTCGTTCGCCAGATCCACTGATTTATTTGGATAAAGAACAACTGATTTCAAGTAAAAGAGGGCCCAGTATGTGTTAGTATTTTGTGAAAATTGACGAAGGGTAATGTTGTTTATGCGGACGTCTAATGAATTGCTTGTAAGTCTGTCGTTTAGACTGATAATTTTCTCTGGCTCATTAAAAGGTGAAATAGAAAACACTGCTGTTCGTACGTTTTCCGGACCCAACACAAATGCGGTATTTATAATAGTCTTGATAAATTGCTGAATTCTTGCAGCCTCATTTGACCAACCAACCGCGTCTAACATAAAGCCAACGTCTGCATGGTCTGTCACTGAAACAAAAATATTGTATTTTAAGCTTGTTAAAATAACATTCATAAAAATCCAGCAAAGAAAAATTATAATAACATGTCAGTCAGATCAAAAGTAGACTTCTTGATATTAGATCATATATCTATGCGTATACTTTTCCAATGCTCTTCGACAATTCTTTCCTTATTAAGGAGTTTACTAATGCATTTTTCTTTGTACATATAAATCAAAACTCTACGTACTGCAAATTTCGTTTTCTCCTTGACTTAAACCCAAAGGGATGACCAGCAAAATCAAATACGCGTAAATTGTATTACCCATCCTCTACCTTCGATTTACGCTGGTGGATTTACTTTAAGTGAGTTGATGCTATACAAGTGTGAGAATGTGAGCACGGACTGACAGCGGGATGTTATTAAGTGTTTATGTAGGCTCAGGAGTCCCCTTTGTTATCTAACTGAATAGGTCTACTCACATCTGACATCAGCGGGATGTTATTAAGTGTTTATGGTATCTCATTGGTCCCCTTTGTTATCTAACTGACATCAGCCATTGGCTCATTTTGTTTTGGGCAGGGGCGTTTACAATATTTGGTATTAGTATTTTTGTCATACCTGTAACAAAAGAGAATGTTTCTGAAACTAGGAGATTATGTGAAATTATCAAACACCACTGACGTCGCGATACTTTTGGTGGAGAACTGAGGTGTTTAAATCCCTATCACAGTAATAAACTAGTGTTCACAATTGGTCTATATGCCATTTTCTACACGCAACCAAAAAGTTCGAAATCGTCGTTATTTTCAATAATTATAAAATAGCCACATGAGCTTAGGTGAATGTTTCAACCAAATAATGATAGATAGTGCACGTACCATTCTTTACTTTTTATTTTACTGGAGATTGCCCCGCTGCCTCACACAGCTTTAATTATTGAAAAACAAATTCCTTTTTCGAACTTTTTTGGTCGAGTGTTTAATGTCACTTGACAATAATGATATATACCATATAATATTGCAGTTATTGAAATAGATTGGACAATGAAAAATGAATTTTCCAGCGTCCCAGGTTTGCTTTTGGATAAGCCAGTCATTGTGTGTGTCAGAAAGTGCAATAAAGTGATGTAATCGGCGGAACTTATTAGAAGATAAGAAAGTGATACTTGCTATCTACCTTTATTAAAGACCTAGGCATTAAGTCTTTATCCATCATAAGATACGCATTTTGGGTTCACAGGCTGTTATGGGTTATTGAAAGAAACTTAGAATGTTCACAGTTTAATTCCATTGATTCAAATTTGAGATTCGTCAGTGGTGCCACAGATTCTTCAAAATGAATGAACGATTCAGACAGATCTATGTTAAGATCGAATTGTTTGTTCTGCAGGTTACTTTTGTTAATTCTCTATAGTTGAAATACTTAAAAGCTTTCATTTTCTATCCTCCGACCATGAATGAATATTTATAAAACTTATTTTCTGTGTTTAGGCCAAATTTTACCAAAGAAAATGATGAACTTAGTCAGGCGGCTTAGTCCATTTTTTTTTTTTCAGAATTGTGCAAAAGTTGAAAAAAGCATGAAACTTTCCATGATGAATGACCATTGGCTCTTTGTCAATTTTGGATGGGGGGGTGCAACTGTGAAATATAATTTTTTCCCCAAATAAGCGGCTTTATTAGAATATGGTGACTCAACGTTTTTATTCGCCCGGATATCTCACCAAGCAAGAGCTACTTTCGTTAATTATTATGGCATGAACAAATTTGATAAATTTTACTTAGTGTGCACATCTAAAATGTGGTTAAGCCGCTCAATAGTCGCCAAAGCAATTACACCGAGTCTCATGCGTCCCTTGTGCCTCCTTTGAACGGCCGGACCTAGATTCCACCTGTAAAATTGACAGCTGCATGTGCGTCCACTGAGCGACCTGCCTAGAAAATCAAATGTTTAAAAAGTGCGTTTATTGTTCAGTTAATATGAAAATCACCTTGCCAGGTCAAATAGGCAGCATTTTTAATTTTTAATAAGGTCTGATTTTCATAGACGAACAGACAAATACTGCAATGTTTTACTGTAAATAGAAAAGGACTGTGGTTTATTAAACTGGAGAGAAAATACTTTTCACTTCTACATTTAACAGCAATGGTGTTTGATATGTGTTAAAGAATGGCCTTAGAGTTCATTCACAACAGAAGTCCAAGTCACCAAAAGCCCCATTTTTTTTTATTCCCAACTCTCGTGTATTCTCTAGAGATCTCAACCACCACAGGCACATTTATTAATTGTGACTGGTGTGCATCTGACCGCAACAATAGCAATGAATACACTGCAGTAATTAACTTAATTTATCCTCCTTCATTTCTACATTTTCCAAAATAACATGAGTTTCACTATGTTGGTCTTGTTATCCTTATTTTGGTCTTGTTATCCAATGTTATGACTAATTTAACACTGTAGTTTATGTACATTAGGTATTGTATTTTTATCTAGTTTTTCTTGTTGGTCTGTGCCCCTTTATACATTACTTCCTTTTCTACGACTAGTTGATCCCTTTATTGTTTTATAACACTGTTCCACTATACCACAAAGCAATTCGTGGTTATATACCAAAATCAAAAACTCCATTTAAACCCAAAATACCACAATGGAACCAAATAACTCCCGGTAACAGCTCCGCCAAAAACATATGTCTGGATTAACTCACTGCTGACTCATATTAAAACAATTTACAAATATATTGTGATAATCACCAAAGATATTATACTATTCAGTATATGTTAAATCTCGAAAAGATGGCGTCCAATGCTTTTTGCCACTTCTTTGGAACTCAATTTGAACGAGCAAGAATTTTTGGTATGGTTTTCATCCAAAATTTGACCCTTTTTGGAATGACACTCCTCTTTTCCACTACGACGTCACCAAATTCGAGGTAGTGCTCTTTATTCATAGTGAATTCCTCCCATATTGCTGGGACAGGCTCTGGCATGTTTGGATTTCTGAAACAAAGAAAAACTAACAATATGAACTGTTTAAAGATTATCGTAAGGGATCACTTGCCACCATGAAGTGACATTGTTTAAGGAATTACGTCAGAGTAGCTTGAAGTTAAATGAGCCTCTATAACATATAATTTAATTAAGTCATAAGACAACACCCAAAATGATGTAATGAAACTGTGCTTGGTGGCAATGGTAAACAGGTGTTTAATGGATGTTATTTGTTTAACTTGCATGATCAAATGTGCATTTTGTTCCTCAGCACTGTATCTGGTTTCAGTGATGTCTGTTACATAAAAGTAATTCTCTTTAGCGAAAATAAATTAAAGGGAGTTTTTCGATTAATGAAAAGCTTTTTGAATAGTTATATTATAATTTTTTTAGATTCACTTTTACGGAGGTAATTGGCTAGGAAATCAAGACGTGTAGTACATGTGTATCTTCTTTCTGGTGAATTAAGGATTTGGACAGGTTTTGGAAGTGAACTCAGAAAATTATAATATTTGAAAGATATATAAATAATTGATCCAATTGCATTTTAACAGAAGGCCGCCGAACCTGAATTAAAGAAAAACTGCCACTTTGTACATGTAATATAACTCACCCGGTCTTGGCAAAGTTGGACCAATATGTTATCAGCATTTTAGTCAGTTGTTTCTCATCGTCCGTGAAAGTGGCACCGGAGACGATAGGTTCGTGTGAACCAATCATAAAAAGAAGTTCGTCTCCGTGACTTGCGCGCTGAAACCAAGGTGGTAAACCAATCCCAATATGTCCATATAGCGGCTTTCTCGTGAAGTAGTAAAGATATGTCGACCCACCACCTTCGAAGAGATGAGACGACATGAATTCAAACATCGGTTGAGTGAATGCAATGTCAGTGCCAAGGTCGACGTAATCACGAGCAGTTTCTATTTTGGTGGAGGTTTTGTCATAGTAGAATTTTGTTATGGCGTTGACAATTTCTGTATTGTTTTCAAAGACATACCTTGTCGTATCGGGAATCAGTGTGTCACGGAAGAAAAAGGGATCAACTCCGTCGAAGTACTTATTCATAACAAGATTGCTTCCGTCTCCAGCAAGAATCCCAGTAACAAAGGCAAGGGAACGAAGGCGCTGCAATACAACGGGATCACTTAACAACTCTGATATTGGTTTCGTTAGCAATATACCGTCGACTGAGGGTCTGTAGAAATAACCAGCAAGCCCTACGGTGGCTTTAACACTGGCATTCCTGAGTGTCTCGGCGTCTATGGTGCGTAGACAGTCTACAAGTGCCGTGGTGTTTGTCGTTGGACAGCCAACAATGTTTCCAGTTCTCACAGCGAGTTCTGGACCATTGTGTGACATTGCCCAAAAAGCGCTGGTAGTACCACTCTGACTTATCAAGCGTTGGAATAGGCCCGAAGAAGCGTTTGCCAGCGCCATCTGTGTTGCACTACTGCCACCTGCAGATTCGCCAAAAATCGTCACCCTGTAAAACACCAATAACAATATAACAGTAAAGGAACGCACAAGCTTGGGTCCTCACAATGATATGATTTAATAAATAACACATGGACAGGTGGACTCTTAAATACAGTGTATGTGTGTTTGTGGTCGTGCACCTTCCAGGGTCCCCGCCAAAGTTCTGGATGTTCTTCTTGATCCATTTCAGCGCCTCAATTTGGTCCCACAGTCCTATATTACCAAGAACGCTGTCGTCACCAGTGCTGAGAAACCCAAACACATTCAGCCGGTAGTTCATAGACACGACGATGACGTCACCTGTTACAGCTAAAAATAGATGTGCTATTTCTAAATACACGTATATATTTTATAGGCTTGTAAAGTTGAAAATGTGAGTACATCGAAATAGCAGCAGCATGAATAGGTCAGGCTTTTCTTGTACATTAGAGATTTCAATTAAATTACAGTGTTACAAAAATAAATAATATATAAGAAAAGTGTGGTATATAACAAAGTTGGTAGTTGGATCATAAGATCAGTAACAGTATAAGCACTATCAATTTAGACCTTGGTTATATCTTTTAAAGGCTGGGTGTGTTTACTTTTTTTATATATGTACAATTCCATTGTACTCACCAAATTCTTTGAAACTGTAGATAGAAGTTCCACCAAATTCATATGCCCCACCGTGTATCCAGACCATTACCGCCTTATTGTTGGAACTGTTTGTGGAGCCAGGAACAAAAACGTTGAGTGTCAGGCAGTCTTCTGAAATCTGGATGATAAAGTCTGGAGAATATAGCTGTAGTGTGAAAATTCGCTGGCTCATTTTATTATTATACACCTTTGGTCAAATTATTATTATACTCTTTGGTCAAAAGGTTGTTCCACCTCTAGTTCCACGTGTTTTTCGTTTTACAAAAAATCACATCATAGCCAAAAACAATTTAAAATACTGCTTTTTACCAAGAAACCATATTCAACATAATTCATATAATTCAGTAATATACAGAATATCGGTGACGATCCATATTTTATATCATTAATTAAATTTTCCCCATGATTCCACAGAGGTTAAGAGGTTAATTTGCATTTGCTAACAGCTCTCGTCTGGCAAGTGATTTGGTGCAGAAAAACAATGTTTTGAGTATAAGGTAACCATATTTGAACCCTGATATTTACCCTATTGAGTACCTGTGGCATGAATTGCAGTGTTCAATGCAGAGGAGAACCAATTTTCAAATAATCTGGACCAACTTCGCAGAGTTTTTTTCCAAGAATAGGACAATTTCCGACAAAACGGAATTGAGATAATTGCAGTACGCGGTAGACACACACGCTATTTGACACGTGGCCTTTAACGAAGACATCCTACTGTTAATTTTGTGGCGGTGTCTTTTTAATTCAACAGGCAATTCTTTGCCTCTGTGGAAATCACAGTGAAACACTGGATTTGAGGGTGTGCATACTCTTAATTTGAATTAATGTTATAAAATATAGATATTTTCGCCGCTATTTTGTATTTTCTGAACACTTAATCATGTAAATTATGGTATCTGGAATGAAAAGCATTGTTTAGAACAGTGTACACCAATGACGTGATCATTTGCAAATAAAAGCACATGGAACTGGGGTGGGACAACCTTTTTGACCAATGTTGTATATAACCTATATACTTATATTATAAGTACTTATATCAAATAATTGAGTAAGATTTGATTTAGCCCTTTTTATTTTTATTCATATCTCTATCGTTGTGATTGAATTACTTTTATTAAAATCGCTAATTATGAGCTCATGTTTGAAAGTATGCTTACAAAGACTTATTCCCACCTTTTAACTACTGGGTACAAAGATTCTTTTAAGATACAACATACATCTCCGCCTCATGGTCAATTATGTAGCATAATGTGTCCGCTACATCATTTTCTTGCAACATTTTCCACATAAAGGGGAAATTGAGTATACTTTCATGAAGCTTTTGACTAAGTTAAACCAGTGCCTCTGTAATCCATTCAATATGCTTTATAATCACATGCTTTATAATCACAAGAGCAAGTAAAATGTAGTGTTTATTACCGTCTCCGGGTTGGGATAAGGTACTGCCACGATTTGCATGCAGGCAGGTCCAAACGCCGTGGCATCTTTAACACCTTCCCAGTTCTCTGCAGGCTCTGGTAACCTAAACCTGAGATCTCCCACGGGAGGCTTGGCGAATGGTATACCTAAGAATACATCCACTCTGCTCCCTTGCACAGTTTCTGTCGCTCCCTGTAACGCTCCGTTGTCAATGTATACAATGGTCTGGGATTTCACTCCCTCCAGAAGTACAAGAGAGGCACAGATGACAACCATGATCCAAGACCCCATTCTACATATAAACCAAATTGATAACACCGCTCAAATCTGTATGTAACGTTCAAAGTAGCAATGTATGGCATTTATCTACGTATAAAAAGATTTAACTCAACGATGAGCGTGGTTTCATCGAGTTATAAACGTGGTAACCGCATTCGTGACTATGGTATGCATATATTCATAACGTAAGTTTTAAGAGCCTTATTGAATGGCAATGTATCTTTTTTATCTACGTGAAGATAACTCAACGACTTGTGCCGTTCACTAGTGATGTGGTAACTCCGCACGTGACTATGGTATGCATGTATTCATAACACAGGAAATCAATGTGCAGTCTTTTATATTATCTTTACCGGAGACCATTGCGGGATTAGCAGTATTGTTTCATGTAGGATCCGCCATATTTGATCCGCAGATCCAATCTCACGTATCCACTGAAGATCTCAACCACTACAAGTATTGTGGCTAGTGTACATCTGAACGCAAACAATAGCAATGAATACACCGTAGTGCTTAACTTAATTGACCGGGAAAAGGTGCGATTCTCAAAGACGAACACTGCAGCGTTTAACAGGAAATAGTGAGTTGCTGCAATTCGGAAATGTTGCACATCGTAAATGCTCCCATTCAAGTATGTTGTTTACACTTTAACCTTTATTTCCTGCTGACAGTTTAGTATTATCACTTTTGTCGAATAAAATCAATTCTTATTTGCGTAGACACTAGACATTGTTTTCCAGTACGGTTTCGGCTATGCCTTGATCGTGGACGAGTACTTCCAGGTGTATCGAGTATTGGACAAGATTGATATCTATGGGGAGATACCCAAGACAATGACATATTATGTTGCGTCCGCTGGACCTTGCTGGAAGGACGACGTGAGCAACCCATTTAAAACATATGCTGCTGAGTTTATGAACCAATTCACGACACGAGTGACAGACTGTACAAAAGACGTGTGCTGATATATACTCATCGTCAAAATTCTTATCATATAAACTGCACAAAACTGTTTTAAATATCATTAAAATATAACAATGTCAGCTTTCGTCTCTCGCTGTGAAATGCATTTCTGTTGTTAAACAATGACGAATTTGAGGTGACAAATTTGTTTTCTTCGTCGTTATTTATTAATTTCATCAGACAAGTAACATTTTGTGCATATTATTCGATACTTTCTTTTATAAATTAATCCTTAGTTTTTTTTTTTCTTTTCTTCTTTTTTTTTTTTTTTTTTTTACTTTTTATATGATATATAGCTCTTATTTTGTTTCCTTCATTGCTACATTCCCCTAAATTACATGAATTTTATTATTTTGCTCTCATTTTATATTATCCTTACCTCGGTGTTATGGTTAGTGTCACACTGTGGTTTCTGTACATTAGGTATTGTATTATTTTTATTTAGTTTTGCTTGTTGTTCTGTGTCCCTTTATACATTGCAACCGTTACTATGACTATTTGGTCTTTTTTCTTTTTTGATAATGTTGTTCCACAAAACCACAGAGAAATTCTTGGTTACATAATGTAAAATCAAAAATTCAATTGTAACCCAAAATTGAATAACTGGAACTAAATTACTCCCAATAATAGCTCCATCATATACAAATGCCTTTGAATAAGTCACTGCTAACAATTTAGGTATATACTGTGATAACCATCAAAGATATTACAATATTCAACATATGCTAAATCTCGAAAAATGCCATCCAAAGTTTTCCCACTGCTTAGAAATTCAGTTTGAACGAGCAAGGATTTTTGGTATGGTTTTCATCCAAAACTTGACCCGTTTTGGAAGGATTTTATTCTTCCCCACTATGACGTCACCAAATTCGAGGTAGTGCTCTTTATTCACAGTGTATTCCTCCCATATTGCTGGGACAGGTTCTGGCATGTTTGGATTTCTGAAACAATTCATAAGTTATAATATGAACCACTTAAAAATTATCGGAAGATATTATCCGCTACTAGTAAGTGTAATTCGTAGATAATGATGTCAGAGTAATTTGAAATCAAATAAGTCTCTATTATATAATTTATTCAAATGACAATACCTTGAAGAATAATACTGAATACAAGAATAATAATAGAAAACAGACGTCAAATGCATGTAAGTTGACGAAAACACATGGTCAATTATACATTTGGTACCTAAATATTGAATTTGGTTCCAATTGCACCTGTTATATCAAATTACTTATCTTTGACGTAGAAAAAAATCAAGGGTGTTTCCAACACATGTTTTAGCTAAAGCTTTTTGATAAGTTTACATCATTATTTACCTAAAACACCAACTTTTATACCATTTATATGCGGGGTCAAAACAAATAGTATCTGCTTTATGGTTAATTGTGGATTTCGATCTTTTTTGTTTGTGGATTACAATATTTGAATGTTATATACAGAGTTGGCTCAGTTTCTTAAAACAGTAATCCATAGTAACTGAACTATGTAAGAAAAGTGCTTCGTCGCCATATAACTGTGTTTTATAGTTTTACTTACCCAGTCTTGGCAATGTTGGACCAATATCGTATCATCATCCCACTCAGATACTTCTCGTCGTCAGTGAAAGTAGCACCGGAGACGAAAGGTTCATGTGAACCAATCATAAAAGGAAGTTCGTCTCCGTGACTTGCACGCTGAAACCAAGATGGTAAGCCAGACAAAACATGTCCATACAGCGGCTTTCTCATGAAGTAGTAAAGATATGTCGACCCACCTCCTTCAGAGAGATGAGGCACTAGGAATTCAAACATCGGACGAGTAGAGGATATGTCCGTGTTGAAGTCGACAAAATCACGCGCAGTTTCTATTTCGGTGGCTGTTTTGTCATAGTAAAATTTTGTGATCGCCTTGATTATTTCCGTGTTGTTGCCAACCATCAACTTAGTCCAATAAGGAATCAGCGTGTCTCGAAAAAAGAGGGGATCAATCCCTTCGGAGAACTTATTTTGAACCAACATTGCTCCGTCTCCATTAAGAATTCCAGTTACGAAGTCGAGAGAGCGTAGACGCTGCAATACAACGGGATCACTTAACATTTCTGATATTGGTTTAGTAAGCAAGATTCCGTCAATTGAGGGTCTGTAAAAATCTCCAGTAAGCCCTACGGTGGCACTCACACTGGCATTCACAAGGGCCTCGGCGTCTATGGTGCGTAGACAGTCTACCAGGGCCATGGTGTTTGCCGATGGACAGCCAAGAATGTTTCCTATTCTCACAGCGAGTTCTGGGCCATTTTGTGACACTGCCCAAGCAGCGCTGGTAGTACCACTTTGACTTATCAAGCGGTGGAAGAGGCCCGAAGAAGCGTTTGCCAGGGCCAGCTGTGTTGCACTACTGCCACCTGCAGATTCGCCAAAAATCGTCACCCTGTAAAACACCGATGACAATATAACAGTAAAGGAGCGCACAAGCTTGGGTCATCACAATGATATGATCTAATAGATAAAATATTGACAGATGGACTCTGAAATAAATCTGTGTGTGTGTGTGTGTGTGTGTGTGTGTGTGTGTGCATATAATCGTTCACCTTCCAGGGTCCCCGCCAAAGTACTGGATGTTCCTCTTGATCCATTTCAGAGCCTCAATTTGGTCCCACAGTCCTATATTACCAGGTACGCTGTTGTCGCCAGTGCTGAGAAACCCAAACGCATTCAGGCGGTAGTTCATAGATACGACGATGACGTCACCAGTTAGAACTAAAAGTATATGCAAATATAGTACTCTGGCCTTACTCATGTTAGGCCAGAAAAAATTAAATGAAGAGAAATACTGGTTTTAAGATATTTATTTTTCATTCCATAACTTCCGTAGTTCCCATAAGTTAGTACAGAAAGGGGAAATGAAGTGTTTGAAAGATATCAGAGTCATTTTTGGATTATTCATCATAATGATGTTTCATTTTATATGCCTGAGTGTAAGAACAAAAATGATTGTATCAAACTTAGTTTATGGTTTATTGCATCAGATATGCTAAGCAAGCACATCTATCACATTCCTTTAATAAAAGGACCTCATTAGCATAAGTGAACAGTCCTAGTTGTCACACCCAGGAGAGTGTGGGTCAGTTAGGTGTGTGCTGCAGAGGAGTGCAGAGGTGCAGAAATGCAGTGGCATTATTGTATTTACCCAGAAGAGGCATATAATAATGGTAAGATGTTTATGCCAATTTTGTACATAATGTATATTACCAGCATTTCTCTGTTTATATTATATAGTTTTATTAATTAATAACCTGGTTGCTAATTGTATTTTAAATTGTAATTTGTATTATAAACTCAGATGTTATGTGAGAAGTGGAGATACCAGCTAGACAAATAAGTGACAGTTGTATTTTCTTTGTTTTAGTTACACGGCTGTTTCAACCTGAGACAATTTAAATAAAGCTCAAGTTAAGGAATATGCCCGTTGTCATTTGCCTCGTTTATCTGTGGCCCCTGCGAGCTACACTGAGTATCTATACTGTAATGAATGCTCACACAAAATTTTTCGCTATCACCCCCCCCCCCCCCCCCGCCAAAAAAAAAAAAAGGATGATGGAGAACCTCATTTTTATGTGGCATAATAAAGCAATATAAAGTGCATTTCAAGATAACTGTTCAAGTATTTATGTATTGTTTTGTAATTAGAAGTTTGGCGCATTTATCCTTTATATGCCTTAAGTCCTTTTACTCACCGAATTCTTTGAAACTGTATACGGATGTTCCACCTATGTTGTAACCCCCAGCATATATCCAGACCATTACCGCCTTATTGTTGGAGCTGTTTGTGGATCCAGGAACAAAAACGTTGAGTGTCAGGCAGTCTTCCGAAATCTACAAGATAATGAGCCATAGTATTACATCAATTTGATGAATTTCACAGTTACATCAGGTAGATAATATACATGAATCGATGCTTCTATAACATAAATGGATCAATTCGTATTAAGTGTTCACAATCAATTTAATACCATATGCGTGAATGTAAATACCTAATAACTTATTGAATGCACCTGAAGTTAAAATAACTAATGCTTTTTCTCAGAACCTAAAATATTATTGTCATAAAATATAGGATTGCTTTATATTTTGAACAACAGGCCCTGAGGTTAAGGATAATGGTTAGTTATGGGGCACATTTCCGTTTTTATAAAAAGAAAACTAGTCATGCAGTGCTTAGCTAAGTCGGACAAACCCGTTTTAATTAAAGGAACTAATTTTAATAAAACAAAGATATAAAAATAGTATTATTTTTGGTTTGTGTGACTTTTAATAGTGTGAGCTGGAGGTTTTATTTGCAAATGTAGAAGGTTAAGTTCTTGAATAGCATATCACTTTGTGGGATTATGGTGCATATGATGAAACCTTTGCATCTTTTACTTCCAATTTTAACAGTCGTTTGCCCTGCTGAAATTTGAAATGATGGAAATACATCTAGCTGTGAAAAATAATTTTTTGAGTTCAATACCGAAGTACAGTTGGGATTGCTAGTAAAAATAGTGAAGCCTTCATGCGAATATACCTACACTATCAGCATGATTTGGGCTCAAATAGAGTAATGGTATTAACAGGTGATGTAGCTTTTTTTTTTTTTTTTTTTTTTTTTTTTT